GATCCACAGTCTGTTCAGGAAACTGAGGACCAGAGTGAAGAAAGCGTTCAGCCTCAAAGACCTGCAGGTCAGGAGGAGTGGAACATTATCAGAGCTCATTGATTGATTGATTGATTGATTGATTGATTGATTGGTGCATTGAGGAATGAGGGTTTTGGCATTAATTGGAGAGAATTTAGAACATGAACATGTAAAAAAATAAATTTGAAAACCCCCCAACAACAGCACAGAAATAATTTATTATTATGATCTTGTTCATGTCATTTGCAGCCACAAGAATTAAAACTTCTTATAAATTACAATTTGCCATAGAAATAAGTTATTCTGGGCTTAACTTCAAATGCAGGAGATTTGCTGCACCAGCCAATGTCTGAACATCACTTCATTTTGGTTAGTGATTAGTAATAGTTAGAATTTATGCCTCTACAATTTATCCTTCTGTTCTTTATGCTTTTCACTTTCTTAGATAACTGCGGCAGTGGATTTGTAGCTCAGATCGTTCTTTTCCCCTCCCAGTCATAACTCATACCTTTGTCCACCTAATACCTGTTGTAATTTCTAAGAATTTTTAATTTGACCTTTTTGGTGGTGAATTCTCTTCTCTTGTCATGAACTGCATCATCATCAAGTGTGATCGTTCCTGCACGCGTTGTTTCCATTAGAACCCCACGCAGTCTGTGTTCTGGCTAAATCTTGTGACTTGAACATTGTGGCCTGCAGAACTTCTTGAAATGCTTCAGATTAGGGAAGCACAGGTTTGAACGTCTTTTAGAGCGGATGAAGCCACGGTAGACCCTAGCCTCTAACTGTTTCAGACAGTGCTCTACCACAACTGTACAACAAGGTCTGTGACCACCTGTGTATCACTGAGCAACAGTTTGAATGCACAAGTGCAATTTCTTTTCTTAATGCATTGCAGAAATATTTAGTTATCAGCCGATACTAAATATTACACAACTCGGATTTGATCAGGGGCAGAAAAAACTAGCTCGTGACACCCCCCGGTGATTGGTGTGCTGAATAGTTTGGGTTTGTGAAGCAGGTTAAGTCAAATAAGGTACGAGATGGCAGGTATGCTTTGGAACATGATCATCTTGTGTTACTTCATCTGCAAAATTCATAACAGTGGAAATAAGCATTGTTTCCCAAAATCTGAACTGACTGAGCTGAATTTAAAACATGGATCTTCAAATTAAAAGTGAACTTTTAATGTGAACTTCCCTCCTTGTTCCGTTAGTGTTTTCCTGGTGGATCATGCCTGGACCTACCGTGTGGACCACGCCAGGCTGCAGCTGGAGGAGATCCCTGGACTGCTGCCCAGGATGGCCTCCCTCATGGGGGTGGACTTCCACGGTGAGGCTCCCGACCCGGACACAGTAGAGCTGGTGATGGAGCGCATGTGGAAGTACAACCAGACTTATCACCTCTCTCAGGGGGTACGTTAGAAAACACTTTGTGCAGTACAGCTGTACTTTTAGTTTCCATCTAAATTACTGAGAAGGTTTAGGGTTCNGGAATTATGTTGGATTTCACTGTATGTGTAAAAAGATGTCTTTTTTAAAAAAAAAAAAAAAAAATCCCACAATGCACCTGTGTACCAGCCGTCACCTCCTTCTTCCGGGTTTGTCCAAGCCGCCTCCACGTGAGCAGAACCTCTGCAGCGATGACAACAAACTCCGTGACTTCGAACGGAGGCGAGGATGAGGAGTTCCGAGCCTTCGTGGCGCTGCACGCCGGAGCCCTGCAGTCGTCCGGAATCCCGCAAAGCCACTGGAGGAGCCTCCATCACAAAATCACCAACGAGGTGAGTCCTCTTCTAGCTAACAGCCTCCCAACCTGGAGCTCACACAGGCGTGGTGACAAGTGTCCTGAGCAGAAGTTCTAATAATTCAGGTCTGGTGCTGTCATAAAGTGTATCTGTGGCTAAACATGCTGCATGAACACTGTGTGTTAAAGTCATTACGGTGCATTCGGCTACATGGGGAGTGATGCCGAACTCGCTTGGAAAACCTGTTGTTTTTAATGTTTCCTTAACTCTTTGCACATTTCATCACCATATGAAGAAAAGGCTAAAAGGTGATTTGAAGTAGACATTTCCAGGCTGAATTCGGCAAACAACTCGGGCACTAGTTTGCATGCTGTTACGATGAAACTACGAAGTTTATAGCTAAGCCTGTCCTGTTTGGGGACGAACAGAGAATGTCAGGGAATGTATGATGTAACTAAAGCAAGTGCACCCACGGATATGTGATATATGCCGGGTTGAAGAGAATGTATGACAATATATGAAAGGAGTTACTGTAGCTTCATAAGTGCTGTGTGCTCTAAACGACAAGCAGGCAAACTTTAAGTTGACAATTCTTCAATGGAGTCTGGTGTTGGCACCAGACAGCTCATGTTTTTTCTTTTTTTCTTTTTTTTTATATTTGGTAGATTTATGATGCTGGAGAAGTTTTTGGCATAATGCAGTTCCAACAAGAAGACAATGAGGAGGAGAGCAGTGAAGGAAACGAGGAAAAGAAGAAGAACAATCCTGGAGCTGTGATNTGCGTCAATCTGTAGAGGCTGGAGCAGCAGCGATGTGGTGAGCGTGAAGCGGGCAGAATGAATGAACGCTGCCTCAGTTATAAAGCACGCTAAGTGGGTTGTCTTTCCGCACCGGTACTACCCCGTACAGGGCTACTGGTCCAGCTCTCCGTTACTAGGGCTAAGTTCTGACTGCCTACAGGCCCTGGACCTAATAGGATTCTATTGAACTGATTAAGCTGGTGTCGAGGAAACTCGCCTAGCTTCTGACTGCCTTAATCCAGACGCCTACCCCGCTTCTTCTGATAAGTGACCTCGCTAAGTAGCCTCAATAGCCGAATCACCCACCAGACACGCCTGTTAGTGGCAGCTTTCCTCTTAAGGGAACGAGCACTTGGTAAGTTGCTAGGATTGATTTAGAGGTTTGGAAATACTAACCCCAGGGATATGTTTAAATACTCTATTTCACTCTTGACTTAGAATAACCATTAAGAACCTATAAAAGATGTTATGCACACAATAATCTAACTTTTCACCACCATCGGATGCTAGAAGTGATTCAATAAAATTTTAGTCAATAATGTCTTTAAATGCAGGATTATATATATTTATTGCAAATCTTTAGCATGGGCAAAGCATCAGCGTTTTGATTATTCACACATTATTAATCATTCATTTTGATAGAACTCAATTAATCTAGAAATAATAATAAAAGTGATCTGTGCTCCTTTAATCTATAATAAATGATTAAAATTCTTAATTTGTAAAGAGAGAGAGAGCCTAACAGCCTGGCCAGTACTGATCAACTCAGCTCCGTCCTATCCTGAGCTAAGAGAGACACCCTACCAGCAGAGCAGCTACCCTGTACAGGGCACTGAGGTGCAGGTGACGTCCTCCAGTTAGGGGGAGACGAGGAGTCGCAACCCCGATTTAGAACTGCAGTCTGTTTGAGTCTTTGTTTGTACGATGAGGCGAAGATGTTTTCTTCTGGCAGAACACAGAAAAGGGTTCTGCCGCTCCTCTTCAGTTGTGTTGCAGTCTTGTTGCAGCTCCTTCTTCGCGCACACAGTCAACTGAGAAAAGTTCTAAGAACTCTAAGTGTTCCCGGTCCGTCTCTCAGTCTCTTGTGCAGGTTGACGTCCAGCTGAGCTCTCTGTCATCCCCGGGCGATCTCCGACAAACATCTCTCTGTCTGTGTCTTTTATACTTTTTCTACGGCTCTCTCTCCCATAAACACTATGCTTGATTACTAATAATACACACTCACTGATACACACTATTAGTACACATAAAATACACACATACATTGTCACACACACAGTCATAGGGTGTTGCACTTTTCAGTGTAACACACCAACTCCATTTATGGTGACCGGAACGAGCATAGTTTGGCAGGCACAGGAAGTCTAATAGCCTTCTGTTTATGAAAAGAGGATCCTCTGTTTATTAAAAAGAGGATCATGGCTACTTTAGCATTGAGCTCAGCTTGCTAACTTCCGGTGGCTTAACAGCTCATCACGAGTTATCCTGCCTCACCCTGCTTTTAAGAACACTATTCTCATACACACATCTGCCCCTGCACTCCAGCTCTGGAAACTACCTAACTTTCCCTAACTCATACTAATGGAATTTATCAGCGTAACTTTAACACTACTGATTGTCTGGTTATATAAGGTTCAGTTAAGAATCATTACTTAAAACATTCAATCGTCACATTTGCAGTACAGCATATAATGTTTCAAATCATTAAAGTCTTTTATATTGCTTACAGCAGAGCCAGAGTTCTTTGTTAGTGGCTGTGTCTGGGATCTCAAAACCTGACTCCACTTGAC